AAAGAGCACTTAACATGAGTTGGATCACTGGATACTTGCAGGGTTTTACTTGTGACAGAAAGGAAAGGTATTGGGAATTTTTACTGATATGTGTTCACACATTTCAATGTAGTTAAAATTGAATAAGAATAACAAATTCTTTACATAAAGACTTACATGTGTTTCTGTGCACATCTTGTACATAAATATTTACCAAAGCAAATAATGTTCAAAAAATTAGAGAGAAATTAAACATTTTTATGTCAGATGTGCTTAGATAATAATGTTTTCAAAATAATCAGTCAAGGAATTTTTGTGTTACATAATCTCATAATTGAAGAAATATTGACCTGATTTTAATCACATTTAACATTGGAGGTATTTGTTAATCTGCCCCATGTGTATGAAACTATTTATAAGAGCATAAGAAGTTAACATTCACAGATTTTAAATCTAGATGCAATACTAGAGGGACCTGACTTTTCTTATACTGTCAAAGGAATCATATTGTTATCCATTCATACACCTGTCCATAACACGGTATAATTAATTTCAGAAACTTGCTTTGTTTCTACTTTCAGATTTTATATAGCATCCTGGTTTGTAGATGTGTAATGAAAACATCTAATTTTAAAAGCATTCTGAAGTAAAATCAAATGGTCAGTTTAATAATGGTTTAAATGGCTGCAACAGTCATATAATGTCAATTTCAAAGGATTCTGATGGTGGTGTGTCACACTCAGGATAACAAAATTCATTGACATGTCCATTGTCTAATATTTAAAAGAACACAACAGTTTTGTTGGAAACTAGATCTGTTTCCATCCTTAGGTGTAAGGGAAGGGGCATCTACTCATTTGGGTCTATTAAAAAGAGCTAATCTCAGTCACTGGACCAAAGACAGGTTAGCTCATTCTGGATCTGTTTCCAAAATATTCGTGTTCTTTTGAATAGCAGATGATGGACAAAAGTCAAAGAATTTGTAATCCTGAGCCATATAATGTGTTTCTGACTGTATCAGTTATGTCCTCTAATTCTGATTATTCTTTGTTGGGTGGGTTGAATGCGGTTGCTCAATCTATTTCTTGTATTACATCTTGGTAGCAAGTGGAGCCCATTCCGTACATTGAAGAAGGAGAAACGAGTATTAAAAGTAATGTGCGATGTGGTACAATTTAGAATTCTGAAGAATTCAACTTTTGTAGGTTTTAATATCATTAATGTTACTTGAAGAAGTGCTTATAACATCCAAGCAAATTTAATATTATCAAGTTATAGTTAGTAAGTAAAGCTGTCCTGCTACATGCCATGGAGTTGCTTGGAAGGGGAGGAGATGTAGCACCTACTAGTTCTTGATATTGACACTAGGTGGGAGTGGTCAGTCAGTGTCACACCCTGGCTGCACTTTATTTCCAGTACCCATTGGGTAGGAGGCTGGGTGGACCCCAATGCCGGTCTGGATGCAGAGGCTAGAAGAGAAATCCTTACCTCTGCTGGGGGTCAAACCCTGGACATCCAGTCTGTAGTAAGACACTGTACTGACTGAGCTATCCCGGTTTCTGTTGTTAGGTTATAGATTCTATTGGTTGTCGGGAGACAACAGTATTTTATGCAACATCCTAAAACATTCATGTCAAATGATGGCAGTTCAGTTGAGTGATCAGAACTTCTGCTTCATACTCTGGAGGTGCCAGGTTCAGATCTCAGCCTCTTCACTAGCCATTGTGAGTGAGTTTGTTTTTCCTGTCCCCAGCCAGTTAGTTTGTTTAGAGTACGAGACAGACTATGCAATGATCTGCTGTGCGTTTCTGTGTTGTTTGCCAGTGTGCATCAGTGTTAAGTTACTTATAGGCATATTTGGTGGCAGTTTTATCTTGTTAACAGAAAAGTTTTTTTTCAGTATTGGAATATGTTGCATGCCACTTGGGTGCACAAGAAACTGAAGGAAAGGAGATAAGACCATCCATTTGCATAGGTAAGCTGCCACGGTTTCAAAATATTGTGCCCTTTGGCGCCTCGTAGGATTTAAAGTTCTCATGGCAGCAAGTATGAAGATGATTTATCTCCCTGATGATGGAGGCAGCATGGACCTCTGAAATGTTGGTGGACATCTACCAGACTACATGGCACAACAACCCAGAAGACTGCATCTTAAATATGAAGATGGCTAACTTCTCAGTTGTAGTGCTGTGTGATCTGGTAGCTCTCTGCTTTTGTACTTCTTTGACATAATGTGCAAAAGAAATCAACTTTTAGACTCAACAAAAATCAGGTTTTGGGTTGAATGCAAGAGTGGCAGTTTTCAGAATCTGTTTGTGTTTGAGAGATCTAGTATTGACTCTTATGTGTCCTGGGTACACAATGACATGAAATCTTCTGAACAAAAAGCAACTCTTTCAGTATATACTGAGGTGTCATTTTAAGTAGCTGCATATCCATTATAACAACATTTTTATTGGCATTTTTTGCATGTTTGTTATTTATGGCACACCAAATTAATTTATCCACTGTATTAAGAGTCTTCACTGCATTCTACCTCTTGATCTCCAGTGATTATACTATTATGAAAGAGGCACTTTTAAGGTTGCTTAATTCCAATTAAGATCAGAGGATGTGTGTGAGGTGAAACAGAAAGGACTGGAAAGGAGTGATCAGACTGCTTAGGTATTGTAATATTTTCCTGGAGAGACTGGGAAAAACTACAAAAGACCCATGTGTAGTCAGTGCCTTAGTTGAGATTTATACCAGACAGAAATTCAGTCTGGTAAAACCACACACATCATGAACAAAGCTGATGGAGAGTTGTACATATCATCCGTCATCTGAATGGGAGGACATGATGTCAGCTGTAGGAGCAAATGTGCCAGTGGTGGCTCAGCTATTTTATTTTTGGAACTTACCATCGTTTCAGAATGCTTTTAAAACTGTTAAATATTGACCCAAACAGTTTCTTAAAGAAAAGGAAAAGAGAAGTTGTTATACCTAATAATTTCATAATTAGGACAGTAGGTAAGTTCAATTCACACAAATTACTTCTTATTAAGTACAGTTGCAAACATGTTAAAGTGTAAAATTTGTTTTCTTTGCATTCTCAGGTTCCTGTTTGTAAGGTAGTTTGGTTAATGATATCTCTGTAGAATTTTATCACAGAAATAAAACTTGTTTTCCTGCTACTGATTGTTATTGTCAGTTACTCTGGTAAGTGCTCCAATCTTTCTCTCTTCTAACTTACTGTATAATATCAGTGTTAAAGATGAGCCTGTATAGTTGACTGTGCAGTAACAGGTTTGTTCTGAGTAAGAAATACATTTTACTGTTGCCCATTTTTATGTTTATTTTCCTATCCACATTTACATCCAATTTGTTAACTACATTGTGTCCAACCTTCCTCAGAGTTTATAAATGCTTGTAAGAATCACCTGTAATCAATAATGGAAAATTGCATGTCACATATTTGTATCATAACACTGATGTAAACTTTTCTTAAAGTTCTTAGAATTAAATCCTCATCATTAAGGAAATTACCCAATTATCTGTGAATATAGACATTTTCAGTTAACAGTAGCAAAATTCTTGACAGCTGTTCCTCAATTTTATTTTATTTTGTTTTATTTAAACTTAATATATTAGAATATAATACTGTTTTGTTTTATGTTAGTCATGTTTAAACTGTTCTGTAGTTTCCTTCCATTAGAAAGTGCTGTTAAAGCACTCTAAGATCAATGAGTAGTTTTAAATTATGGCAAAAAACAAAATAGTAATGTTAAATATTAAATCACTTGTTACAGAAGATGGATACAACAAGCAACGGTCATTGGTCCCTGGCGATTACAGTTATATAGACTTGGAAGACATCTTAGAAGAGGATGATGAAGGTCTTGGCGAGCAGCTGAGTGAGGGGCCAGGTAAACTCTCCATCTGTCCATTTTTATGTATTTTATGCCCTATTTTTAATCATATTTTACCAACAGAATTGGCTTACTTTAATTTTGTATCGCAGATTAAGTGCAGATAACTCACTTCAGATATCTGCATTTCCACATATCCACAGCTTCATTTCAGTATCATGAAGAGCATCAATATCCTATTTGTGGTCATGGTAGAAGCTGCTGCGCAGGCCCACTAAGTTTCATGGCTTACCTCACCATTTTGATACTGGGGACCACAAATTAAAGCCTATCATGGTGTATCACTCTGAAAATTCATAGGCATGTTATACATTTCCCGTTTTATGAATTTTTTTATATATGCTGTGATTTACAGGAAAACAACCCCCCTGTATTACAAGACTCGTTTGTTATTGAAAAAGTATGTTTCTGTGCATTTTAATATTAAAATAATGATCTGGATTTATTGCAAATCATAGGGGCAGATGTTTTGCCTTTGCCTATTAGAGGTATTTTATATTATCACTACTCATTTGTTTGAAATTAGCCAGTTCTGTTGGTTACCATATCAGTTATATTTTATTAGCAACATACTTAACCTTTCTCAACTGAGAAAATGGGATTTAGAACCCTGTGCTGTAGTGCTGCCAGCTGAACTTAAAACTCTAGAATTTCTGCTATTTTGATATACAGCCAATAAAGGTTAAAAATACTGTTAAAATAAAATGTGAATTCATGATAAAAGTAAATAAAAGTATTCATCTTAATTGTAATATCATACCACTCAAAATTAAATAGTTTTTATAATATTAAGATTTCAATAGTAAAAAGCTAATCATATATTCAGATATTTGGTTTAAAAGTAAAATTTAAAATTGAAATGTAGTTAATATTTTCATAACTGATGGGCAGCCTGGAAGAATGCTGAGATTACATTTTACCTTTGTATGGCCTAGAATTTCAAACAAGTTTTGAATGCCACTCAATAACAGTTTAGTAATCAGTGGCTGCATGGCAGTACATAAGTGATTTAGTGGATGGATCCTACATTTACCTGATTTAATTAAATGATTTTAATTTTTACATTTAATGTGGCATTTAAACCATGTTTTATAGTTATTATAACTATCGGCGTTAATATCAACAGATTTTCCTATCTTCGAGACAGAACAGAATACAAATTATCTAATTAATAATTCACGATCTTCATCCTATTACTATGCTTGAAACACATTTGGCTGGCTACTGCAGGAAGTGTACAGAAAGATATATACTATGGCTTGATAATACAAGCTTATAGCAGTGCGCAGGATCATACCACACCACATCATTTGCACATTTTCCTTATTCCTTCTGCAGCACTGTCACGATCAAGCTAAATTTTGCAGACAATGCAAGCTTTCTTCTGTTATCAATTGCAAGCAAGATCAAATACTGTGATAATGTCTTGTTTCTTAATGTGTCATTATTTAGAATTTATATTTATTAGATATGTTTCCAGTCTGATTTAACTCATTACAGCTCAGTGGTAACTATATAACCACCTACTTTAAAAGTCAGTAACTCTGTCTTTTGCTCACAGAGTACAGATTGATTATTTCCTTAAACAGCATGAAGTTTGATAATGGAGACATTGTGTTTTCTTTGAGGTAGGAACTGAGTTCTTAAATATTTAGATGAGGTTCAGCTGCAAAGGGTCAAGTTTATTTTATTTTAGTAACTATCTAACTGGGATGAAATCTATATCCTGTTTTTAAATATGATTGTCTTACCTATGATTACCTGAATTTTTAATTTATTACCTCTTACCTAAAACTAAGTAATTACCAGTTGATTGAAAATGACCGATAATCTGAATATGGATTATGGAACATGAAAAGAATTCTTTATTTATCTCTTTATTTCAGCCCACTTATTGTGCACAAGAGATCATATTATTAGATCTTGCTTCTTTTTATGATGTAGCTACTGCAAATTGCCAGTCAGACACTCATATAATCTATTATTGCACATTTTTCTTCTACTTGATTGGTTCATTTGTTGGTTGATGTTTATTTTTGTCACTGAATTATTTATTTTGTGGAGTGAAATATTTGTTGTTACCATGTTTTCCAGTTGAAGCGTTGAAATGAAAGTCAGTCACACTAATTCTCTAAGTCCCCCTTCTTCCCCA